GTCCTCAGGAGAGACAGGATGCAGTCTGCCATCTTGAACCACAATATAAACAACTCACTCAAGTTTTTAACATAACTGCTTCCTTCACCCAGGACCTATGCTTTATATTTGACTCATCCCTTTGATGACTGTATTATTCACTGACATTCACTCAATACACATTTAGTAAGTATAGAAATAAGTATAGATTATTTATCAGGTGCTATGGATATATAGTTGAAGAGATACAGCTTGTTTTGTGTATTCAGAACACAGATGCATAAATAGACAATCCCAACCTATTTTAGCAAGAATTCAATGAAGCAAGAGAACACTGGAGATGAGCACAAAAGTTTCCTGAGGGGGTTACGAAATGATTCACAAGGAAACTGGTCATGAAAGTCTTGAGTTTTCCAAGCAGATGAGAGTAAGGAAGTAATGGAGATAAGGCAAAGGGACTCCTTAACTGGACAGTCCCTCACAATAAAGAATTATCCAGCTCAAAGTGTCAATAGGGTAAGAGTGACAGAACCTGCCCTAAAAGTCCTCACATGGCCACAGCCAGAAAAGAGCAGCCCTGCAGCACTGGAATAGGGAGACAGGTGGACAGCTGAGTCTAAAGCAGCACAACTGGGTTGGCAGCTGCTGTTTGTTCTTAAGAAGGAGGTGTGAAGAGAGCCTGAGGTCAGAAGGGGAGAGATAGAGAGGAAAATGGCTGCATTATGGGTCCAAAAGACCAGAGCAGTCTACTTTAGAAGTCCCAGTGGAGGGAGTAGACTAGTGCACTTCCTCCACAGCAGAAAGGCAGAGGGAGCAGGATACACAGGAAACTGCACCGAGCCTAAGAGCTCTTTAGCAACATACCCACAAAAAGGTCATGTAATCCTGTTTTCCTTGAACATCATGGGGTTGGCCTGGAGAAGATCAGGGGAGGAAAGGAAATCTAAAGGACAAAACACTTTTCCACAGGAAGCCACACATCCACAAGAGACAATTTAAATGATCCTTATTCTTGCCACATTCCCAGAGGAAGGAGGCTCATGAGAATGACTAGTTCAGTTTAGGACACAAGCAAACTTCGAACATTTGAGTACAGTGTGGGGACTGTTATTGAGATTATTTATGGTACTTATTGAGTAACAACTTGCAATAGGATTAGGACTTCACTTGAATCTCACTTTATCTTGGTCAAAGCTCCATGCTTTTCCCATGACCTTAGTTTATAGTTAAAGTCCTTTCCAGTTCAAAAAAAATAAGAAGTTGAAAATTATTTTGATAAATTCTACTCACCTCTTTTTTCAACCAGTCATTCTCCCAGATCTCACGATAACTGCCTCTGTCAATAAACTTTACAGCATTCTAAAAGAAAGTTTCTCTATTAAGGAAGAGATGCCACATAGTGATTCACAATTTTAGCAATGGTGACACACGATCACTTTCTCTGATAATTTTATTATGTCTTGAAATTACTTTGAGAATATATGTTAAGAAATTTTGCTGTCATCCTACCTACTCAGGAGGCAGAGATCAGGAGGATGGAGGTTTGAAGCCAGCCAGAGCAAATAGTTCAAGAGACCTATCCTGAAAAAACATAAAAGAGGGCTGGCAGAGTGCATGCCTATCAAGCATGAGGTCCTGAGTTCAAACCCCAGTATTTCCAAAAAAAAAAAAAAAAAAGGAAGAAATTTGGTTCAATTGTTCTTTAATAAAAAAACTATCCTGTTGTATTGTTTTTTGCTGATTTACCCTGCTACTACAATAGGTGACTTAGAGACCTAGATATTGTGAGGGTGTCCATTCACTTGGCCATCATTGTGTCTGAATCTGACTACCATGATGGAATCAACCATTAAATGATGTGCTCTATAATTAAGATGGCTAAACTGTAATAATCACACATTCCTCAAGTTTACAGTCAAGATAGAATTTAACATAAAGCAAGCAAAAGCTTGAATAGATTACATTACTATCTTTTTAATTTGAAATGTTTCTGTATGTCAATAGTAACAATGTACTTACTTATAAACCTAATAGCAAATAGATTCAGGATAGTGAGAAACACAATAGATGGTTTTCTGCAGAAAAGCATTATAGACAAAAACAGGAAAAACCTTTCTTTGGTAGCAGGTTCATAATATGCAAATTTGTTTTCAATTACTTGAATATATAAAATTTCTTTTTGTTGGAACTTTTACTCTGTGTGTGTGTGTGTGTGTGTGTGTGTGTGTGTGTGTGTGTATCTCATTGGGGATCAAATTCAGGTCTTCACAAATACACTACCACTGCACCACACCCCAGAATGATATTTACAGTTTCATCCACAAGAGCCATCTCTGTGAGATGGTTTTTATATGGATATTATGTCACAAGTTCAATATTCAGTAACTGAAGGACAGAACCAAAAGAAGATAAAAATATTAAAGAAGAATAAAATATTAAAAAAATTTTAGGAAAAAAAGTGAAAAAAGAAAAAGATTCTAGATTATAAACATCAACAGAAATAATTTAAAGGGATAAATTTATCTGTTAAGTCCTTTGAGTTAGAAGATTTTTAATTTAAAAAAAAATCTTTAAATCATACTTATTAAACTAAGAGTGAATATATATCCTAGGAACCAGTAACTTTTATACTGCAGCTAAAACCAGGTTTTTCCAACATAAAATTTCATTTGAATAAAAGCAGGAAGTAGCTCCTAAATGAAGTTAGTTGGCTAACAGCTTAACTAACTAATAATGGAGTAGTGGCTTCAACCTTGGCTACACAGTAGAATCTCCTAAAAGCTTTGAAAAATTCCACAAACCCAGGCAACACCCCAAAGAAACTACCTTAGCATCTTTATTGGTGGGACCCAGGCACCACTTGGGGACACATCAGTGTATAGGAGGTTAAACTGTGTGCTAAAATAACCAGCTAACAGGAGAAAAACTCATTCAATAATGTGAGTGTTAAGCATCATGTAGATAAAAGAAAATGTATAGTGTAGTGATAAGGAGTGATGACCAGAAGGAGATCTCAAGTGGATTCCTCCACTTGCTCTAGGAAAGTCACACTCTTTCTCTGTGCCTCCATCTCATTAGCAACTCCCAAACCCTTTTAGGATGGCCGAGAGATTTAAATGTAATGTTCTTGGAGGAGCATTTGGAACAGTCCTCATTGCATATGCTTGGAGTTATATGCTTATTTGATCTACATATACATCTTTTTTGGAGGTGGGGAACAGTATTGGGTTTGAACTCAAGAGCTTTGTACTTGTTAAGCTGGTGCGGTACTGCTTGAGCCACACCTCCAAGCCTTTTTTGCTCTGGTTATTTTGGAGGTACGGTCTTGGCTTTTGCCTGGCTTGTCTGGACTGTGATCCTATTTTAGGCTTCCTGCTGCAGCTGAGATGACAGGTGCGTACCACCATGCCCAGAAATCAGTTGAGATGTGGTCTCGCAAATTTTTGCTGGGGCTGGCCTTGAACTGCAATCCTCCCAGTCTCTGCTTCCTGAGTATCTAGAATTACAAGCATGAGTCACTGCACCGGCTTAGCATATATTGTCCCTGTTTTAAAAATTAGGAAGCAGAAACCCAGAAAATTAAGTAAACAAATTCAGTTATACAGCTAGTAAGTGGCAGAGCTCCAACCTAAACTGCCTGACTTTAGAACCCAAGTTCTTTTGCATGTTAGGCAAGCACTCTACCACTGAGCTACATCCTAGCCCTTGTTTTTTGTTTTAAGACAGGGTCTAGCTATATAGCCCAGGCTGGCCTGGAATTCGCAATCCTCCTGAGCTGGGATTACACTCATGGGCCACTATGCTCAGCAGAACCTAAATTCTTAACCACTCTAATATACTACTATAAAGAATAAGGGGAAATTTTGTTTTAAAAAAATTGAGGCAGGGGAAGGATAAAGGAGAATGATGGAGGGGGGTGAATTCAACTATGACACTTTGTAAGAACTTTTGTAAATGTCACCATGTACCCCCAGAACAATAATTTAAAACACTGAAACATACCTGTGTGGCCCATTCCTTCTTTTGGTCCAGTTGCAACAAAGTTTCTTTAATTATTCTCTTTCTAGCATCTTCAAGAGTGACTTTATAATGTTCTTTAAAAGAAATTACAAGCCTTTGGTAAGACTAATCCTAGTGAATTTCATCTTCCATGATCCTCACCTCTCCTTTTACATGCTTTTTCCTGAACTCTCTGAGTACATTTTTCTAACACATCTAGTTCCTTCAGTTAAAGAAATGTTTCTATAATTTGCTAACATTTTACTATGAATTAGTCTAAAATTTCCAAGAATTTTAAACACTTTAGTATTGTGTGGCAATCTATCCTTTGTATCCCACAACTTGTGGTTCCATAACATAAGTATAAAAATCTTACTATCTGCTTAGTAGCATCATGTACATCTGACTCCATCTATCTAGATTTTCAATATTCCTGGCATGTTTTCCTGGAAAAGGAAAGACAGGGAGGAGTGTGAAAAGAGAGAACACTGAGAAGCAGTAAACCTGGTTACGTGTTGGATTTTCTACAAGACAGGAGGACAGAGATAAAGTGCAGGATTCTCCACTCTCTACATTTTCTTATGCACATAAATATCATTACTGAAAGAGTGAAGATAAAGCTTTTGGCCTAAAAAGATGCTTAAAGATAATATAATCAATTTTCCTTAGGAAATGAGGTACCATGGCATTAAGGCTGCTTAAGAGAGTAGAGAAAATAAAACTGGATAAAGGAGTCCAATTTATTTTTTTCAACAATAATTATCAAGTTCTTTCTCTGTGCCAGATACTGTTGAAGACACTGGGAATGTTTCTGATTAAGACAGGTAACCACTGCCCTTATGACATGGCCATTCTCATGAGGAAGACAGACCACAAGTAAGAAAAGCAAGCAAGTAATAATCAGGAGGTAACGTGTGTGATGACAAAGAACTAAGAATCTCTATTCCAGATAAGGTTGTCAGAGAAAGCTTTTTTTGAGGAGGTAACATTTGAGCAGAGTCTAACTAAAGTGATGTAATCAGCAATGTGAAATATGAGGGAACTGTACTCTCAAATGAGTTAATCTGAAAATAATCAAACTTAGTGGTGTTTTATCATATAGCTATGTTATATATCCCCATCAACTGTGCTTTATTTATCACATATGCATGGTAAGTATTTGCAAGTCATGATCTATTTTCCAATACAACTAATGATAAAAATGATAGCTGCTAGACTTTTGGACAGGTCCAAACAAAACTAAACTAAAATACTAAACTAAAATAACTAAACAAAAATGTTGTACAAAGAATGCTGTAGAAACTGCTAGCTAGGACATTGTTTCAAAAGGAAAATTTTTTTCACAGACCAAGGCAGCAAAGTAGAACTCTCTGGATTTTGTGTTATGGGGAAGGAGATCACAGGTCTGATTTTCCTATAGCCAAACTAAGGTGGCTACAAGAGAACTAGGGAACCTGGGAGCTGGGAAGAGTTAGTCAGTTCTCATCTAAACTTTATACTGGCACAACTCTTTCTCTATTAGATGAAAACTAGGACAACAGAAAAATTTTTAAAAAGTCTCTTACATATTTTTGAATTACTGTGTTCCTAGACACTATAAATATTGAAAAACATTTTGAAGGAAATTAAATCTGGCAAACTGCCAGTTTTTGATGGGCAACAATCCGAGGCTTCAGTACCTGGGTGGCAGCAGCAAATGGTTTTTCAGGGACAATGGAGGTGGAAAGGGGAAGGAGAGGTAAAGAAAGAAGACAGCTTACACAAGTTGTGGAATGGCTAGAAAATGGGGTTGGGGGGCCTCTAATAGTGTGGATAAGATGTTTGACTCTGGCTGTGTTTCATTAGGTTTGGGGAACTAGTCTAACTTGTTATCTAGAAAATAAGAAATGAACTCTTTTTATTCCAACCTACGTATACTCATCAACATGGCCTACATTTTTCTTACTCTCATTTGAAGTAATCCTTTGAAACTTTCCAATCTCATTTCTAATGAAATTTCTTCTTTGAGTCAGGCCCTTGTCCATTGGGTTATTAATGCTAGTTATTTGTTTGATCCTTACACATAACAATCAATCTAAAAGCTGCAATGGATTAGGACTTAAACTATAATGGATTTTATAGTCTTAGCATCTGAAAGAAATCATAAAATCTGGAGCTTAATATCATAAAATATTAATTCTTTGCTATAAATTACAAAAAAGATGGTCAAATATGCTCTGACTAAAACTTTGACAGTTTCAAACTTTATAAGACATTCTGTGGACTATTTTTCTTCTTAAAAACTGAGTAAGCAGCAGGAAAGTGATTCAAATGATGCTTCCTATAGCCTAGTGACACCTACTAATCACTCATTTGTGAAGGCTACCAGAGGAGACACTATAAGTAGAAGCTTGGGAGGTTGTGCTGTAAGACTCCTTGTTGCTCAGATGTCCACTCTAATGTGGTCAGTTCTTGGTAGATGACCCCAAACTGCATGGACTGATGCTTCTTTCCATTGTTCTGTCTTTCCTGTTGTGCATGGCTCTGCTTTGGTTTACTTCTCCAACAAGTGCTGGAAATCTTGGGTGATCTTCCCTCACTTCTGGGCATCACACAGCTTCATTGTCCTAATCCTCTTTGTGTGGGTGGCTCCATTCAGACCCTTCTGGAGAAAACTAAGCAGAGGCAGGTGGAAATACTGGCTAGGTTACTTCTCTACAGACACAGTCTGTGTTGGAGATACACCCATATCTCAATGGATCACAAAGCTGGGATGACTATTTGAAGGAAAAGAAGTTTGGAGTTTGGAATCTGCTGCACCTGGGTTCAAATTCCTGTTCTACTACTAAGTTATGTGAATTTGGGTAAGATAATTAACCTCTCTGGACCGCTGTTCTCTCACCTTTAAACTGGGCTTTATTATATCTAACTCAGAGGAACTTATAAGGACCATGTAAGACATGGAAAAGCAGATGATGAAACCAGATTGGGAACACTTGGGGACTCTCATTTTGTAAATGAGGAAATTAGACCCAAAGAAGTAATGTTACTTTTTTGCAAGCAGACTTAAACCCGTCTTTTAACTCACTTTTAGTGTACAAAGAAGTTTTAAGGTTTCCTGTCTTGTGCCCCTGGTTAAACATAAAAATAAAAATGCTCAGTAAGTATATATCTATTGACTTGTTATAAACTGTTCTTTACCTCTGGGCCTAATCTAAGTTTCTCTTTCTTTTTTCTTTCCATTTGTTTTTCTTCCTTTTTCATCCTTGTTCAGCTACCTGCTCATCACTTAGCAGCTGGCTCAATCATCAGATGAAAAAAACATAGTACATACAGGGTTGGTAGTATTCACCATTTCAGGAATCTACGATAGATCTTGAAATATCCTTCTAGGATGCAGGGTTCTACTGTGTTACAGCATTTGATCTCCACCACATGAATGATTCAGGAGTATTTGTTTTTTTCTTCCACCAAATGTACACCTATTAAAGATCTTTTGTTGAACTTGAACTAGTTTTGTTGTAACTGACCTGACATTTTCTCTGCATTCTCTTTAACTATATTGATGTCATTTTGTAAGGAAGTAATGAGTTTGGCATGTTGTTCACTCCCTACATTCTTGTACTCTTCCCAATATTCCTTTTCACTGAGTTTCTCAAGAAACAGTTTCTCAGCATCACTTATTTGTATGCGCATAGCTGTTGAAAAGAAAATCAAGGTATATGTCATTTCTATTGTCCTTACAACCATGATATGTTATAATCTGGTTTCGTAAAGTTAAGGTCTGATATTAAAATGCCATTAACTCATAAATACTATTTTATAGAGGCAATTTTGGGAAATCTAAACTATTCAAACTATTGTTTATCCCTCATGATTCAAAATTGAAGTAAATTAAGCTTCCAAATTTTAAAGCAGATACGTGATTTGGGGTTATGTTTGAATAATACATATGCCTAGGAATATATAAGTTTAAATAGTCCTATGATAGCTTTTTAACGGTCTGATTTTGTACAACACATACTAGCATGTGTATTCTTTATTACAGAGTGTCTTTTTCTGGACATTATGTATCTGAGAAAAAGTGATTTCAACTCATGTCCTTTCAGGTCCTTGACAACCATTTTTTTGTAAATAAACTGAATCAGTCATCTAAAGTTCATTTGTTTGGACTTCCCTTTTGTGACATGATATCATAATAACATGTCTTCTCCCACTCCCCTATGTTGAAAGACTTCAGGGCAGAAGTTAAGTCCTTCCATTAGATGGGTACAGATGTTGAGAGTATTTCCAATGTATGCCCTTTCCATCTTGCTCTGTGTACTTGCTAAGCATGATTACTTTATTTGGTTTTTATATCTAAGTATAATATTGCTGAATGTCTTTAAGTAGGAAGCATTACAAAGAGCCAACTACATGTCTGTTCTCCTTCTCTCTCTCTCTTCCTCTCTCCCTTCCTACCTCTCTCCCTCCCTCCCCTCCCTCCCTCCCTCGCATAAGCCTCTGTGGCCTTCTTTCTTCCTTGGTGACTACAAATGCCCTGTCCTCCCCTTACTGATGCTCAGTTATCCAAAACTGGCCTGAGTCTTTGCATGACACACAGCTCCCTGTGCTTAACTCAAACTATGAACAGTACACCTCAACTAGCACCTTAGAAGGCAGTTCAGCCAGCACACCTAAACATCCCTTTGGATCTTACTCCCAACTCGAGGACTTGAGTATTTCAGGCAAAACTGGTTTTAGAAATTTTAGCAACAAGTGTATGATGAAAAAATAGGAATAAAATGCCTACATCAAAACTGGGTAGTCCGATTTATTCTCCAGGCGCCCTCGTTTCCTAAATTAGTACAAGAGTATGTCTTGTGACTTTCATCCCCCACCCCTAGCATCATTTCTATCCATGTCCTCCAAACTTCCTGTTTCCCAACTCTAATCTCTCTTTCCCCATTTAAATGGTATGTATGTGTGCGGGGAGAGGACTTAAACCCTCTTAGAGAGATGGGGGGCTGTTCATAGTTATATTCATCTTATAATTTCCAAATCTAAACCAAGGTTAAAGTCAATGAAGCCATCAACCAGTAGAACTTCATATAAGAAAAGAACAAATCCCCACTGTGAGAAGCAGTTAAGAGTGGTTTCTAGCAAGATACCATTCAGTGCTAAGAGTCAGGTAGATTTCATCTGTTTTTGCTCACTATTCTTATTTCTCCTCCTCTCTTGACTTCAGTTCCTTTGTTCATGTCATTTATTTCCCTCTCTTGTCCATTTATCTACATGTATTTGTGGTTGTGGTGGTAATGATGTCATGTGAAACATAACCACAGCATTTGAACACACTGGAAGACAAAACTAATATTAATATATTCAAGAACTAACTGATGCAACTTCTATGATAATTTTCTAATTTCCTAAATCACCTTTCAAGTTTTTTTCCTGGTCTCTTTCAAATTTCCACTTCTCCTTCATTGCTTTTTCAACATCCTCTTTTGTTACAACTGGTAACCCATCTGACTTCTCCTCACTCAGTTCCTTTAGTAGGTTCCTTATGTGCCAATTCGGTTCCTCCTTCAAGCGTCTATTCTGTCATGAAACCCACAGCAATCATTATCTTTTGAGCTACTCACATTGTTTTCCCAGAACAGAGCCACAGGTTAGATAAATTATACAACAATATCTAAGAGCTTATGGATCATGTAAGACTCTAAACCTATTAATGTAGGAACCAATAGATACAATGTTTCATAGTAAAATTATAACTAATTTACAATGTATTAACCTTGCAATCTATTACATCAGTGAACATTAAAGGTAAACCTTGGAGGTCAACTTTTTTCAGTCTCCACTAAACACTGTTACTCTTTAGCACTCCTTATTCACTTAGTCATCTACCATGTGCCAGGCAGTATGCTGAGTGCTAGAACTATATCAGTTAACAAAACAGGAAAAAAAAAAAAGTACTGCTTTTATAGAACTTACCTTATTCTTCGCTTTTCTCACAAATAACACCAATTCTCTTCTTTTAGGATGATGGTTACTCACCATTCTAAACTTCATACTTGAAATATAGATCATGTTCTTGTGACTATCCCATACATGTTTCTAAATTTCTCATTTAATTAATTAAAGTTTGTTATTGCCTTTACTATATATTATGTATATTCAAGTAAATAAAAAGTGATAATTTCACGCAAACCTGCCATATAATAATTACTACGGTAAATACTTAACAATGAAGTAAAAGACACTAGACAGTAACTTCACATCCATGAGAAAAAATAAACCAATAAAGTAATGACACAGGCAAATACAAAAGACAGAATTAATATATTTTTGTAATTCTTTTCCCCTACCTTATTTTAAATTAATATAGTTAAGAACTAACTGATGCAACTTCTATGATAATTTTCCAATTTCCCAAATCATCTTTCAATTTTTCTTTAAACCTTGAAAGACAAGTGCAGGCTGGGAGCTGGTGGTTCAGCCTATAATTCTAGCTACTTGGAAGGCTGAGATTGGGAGGACTGTAATTCAAGGCAAGCCTGGGCAAACAGTTCAGGAGTCCCAACTCCAAAATAACCAGAGCAAAATGGACTGGAGGTATGGATCAAGAAGAAGGAGCTATGCTTTGCAAGTATGAAGCTTTGAGTCAAATCCAGTGCCACCAAAAAGAAAAAAGGACAAATGCATAGAGCAATAATTATAATCTATGTTTATGGGCATGCAGTGTGTAAGTATATTTTGTGTTATAATAACAATACAAATGAGGAGGGAAGGAATTAGAGCAAAGTTTTTCTATGTTATTAAAATTAAGTTGGAATCAATCTGAACTAGATTTGTTATTAAATTAAGTTTTTTAATTGGAATCTTTACAGACAACTAAAAAAAGCCTGAAATTATAAATAAGAGTAAAAACAGAATTAAAACAGTATGCTAGAAAACGTTTAATACAAAGAAGGCAGTAATGGAAGAATAGAAGAACAAAAAGAACATAAACAGAGAAAACAGAAAATGTCAGACGGTAAATCTTCCTTATCAACAACTACATTAAGTGAAGAGGTTAAACATCGCAATGAAAAGGCAGAGCTTGGCAGGAGGAATTTTAAAAAAATGACCCACCTGTATGCTCTCTCTGTGATACACTTTAGGTTCAAAGAAACCAATGGGTAAAAGTTTAAAGACAAAAAAAAGATGTACCATACAAACAAGTAACCCAAATACTAACATAAGAAAAAATAAACTTTATGAAAAAAATTGTTATTGGAGACAAAAGGACAATTATATAATAATAAAAGAGAGAAGCCACTAAGAATATGTAATGATGAGAACTATATGCCCTGCATTAGGTATTAATATTCCCCCCAAATTCATGCCAGTCCAGAGTGTGACCTATTAGAAACAGTCTTTGCAGATGTAGTCAGTTAGAATGAGGTCATACTAGACTAAGTGGGCCCTAAATCTAATGACTGGGATCTTTACTTAAAGGCAGTATGAGGGCCATGTGTGGTGGCCCACCCTTACAGTTCCAGCTACTGGGAAGATGGGGATTGGGAGGATTAAAGTTTGAGGCAAGCCTGGGCAAAAAAGTTAATGGAATCCCATCTCAACCAATAAGCCAGGCACAGTGGTACAGTACTTAAAATTCCAGCTATGAGGCAGTAGGAGGATCATGGTCCAAGGCCAGCCCCAGGCAAGAATCTCAAGACCATCTCCAAAAAATAAAAAAAGCTAAGGATTGGTGGCATAGGCCCATAATCTTTAGCTACTTGGGAGGTGAAGATTGGAAGGATTGTGGTTGAAGGCCAGTCTAGGCAACAAGTTCATAAGACCACATCTCAACCAATAAAGCTGGGTATGGTGGTGTGTGCCTGTCATCCCAGCTATGTAGGAAGCATAACTAGAAGGAGGAGAATAGTGATTCAAGACAACCTGGGCATAAATGGTACACACTACAGGGATCCCTACCCTTGGCTGCACCAGTCCTTGGCTCCGCTCTGGATCTACATCCCACCAGGATCCCCACCTCTCAGTTTCCCCTCCCTTCAGGCCCTGCTGGGTCCCAGCTCTGCATGGTACAACCAGATCCACACCCCTCCGGGATCCTTGCCCCTCGGGCCCTGGAGGCACCAGCCCGTGAGACAGCCGCACCCCCAAACCACTGGGACCCACTGCCCCTCAGGCCCCACCAGATCGCCCACCTCCGCGCCACTGGATCCTCTTTGCCCTCATTATGCCATTGCCAGGCCCCAGCTCTACAGGATTAGCCAGATAACCACTCCACCAGGTTCCCACTTCAAGGCTGCCATAGGAGGGCTCCAAACCTGCCTAAGCGACATGGATAGACAGGACTGATGCTAAAGGGAGTAACATCAGAATAACTAAGACTGCAATTCTACTGTTCCCAGAATTGGGATTTTTTTTTTTCTCCTTCTTTAAGTTAAACCAAGACGCCAAACTGCATTGCATTTCAACTTGGGACACTTTGTAGTATGGGTGTTTATTTTTTTATTTTTTTTGTGCAGTTCGATTTGTTCTTACTTTATGCGTCCCCTTTGATGAGACAACTACAGAACAACATCTGAGGCACCATCTCCAGGATTGGAGACTGAGATGGACACCAAATTATTAAGACTGAACTTCCATTGCATTTGAACTTGGAGGGTTTTTTTTTTTAATTTTCTATTATTTTTTTAATTTTTTATATATATATTTCTTTCATTTAACTTATTTTTTATTTTTATCTTTATCTTTTATTTTTTTTATTTTTGATTTTCAATCCTCTCTCTGTCCTCTCTAATGTCTGTTCAGCTTACTGTCAATACTAACCTAACATCCCTGTTTATACCTTTGAAAACTTTTGTCTGACCTTGTTCTGTTTTCTCCTCTTGTCTGTGTATTTGTTTTCCCTTTTTCTTTAACTTCTTGCTTTCCATCTTCAGCTCACCCTTCCATTCTAAATATTACCATTGTTATTATTACAAGCTAGAAAATACTTAATTGCCACACAGTACAGGGACAGTAACAACACCAAAGACAATGACGAGGAAGACAGAAAAAAACAGGGAAACCAGTTTCCCCACAGCAAAAAATTAGTACAGGAACCAGAGGGGATGAAGAAAACAGAACTCAGATCCAGACTCCAACAAAATGAAGATAAACTATGCCAAAGGACCCAATGAAGCCCACAAGAATAATTTAAAAGAAGACATACTACAGGTACTCAATGAGAATTTTATAGAGATGATACTGGATAGGGTCAACCAAAATGTACAGGAGACACTCAAGAAATTCCAAGACAACAAAAATAGAGAATTTGAAAAAGCAAAAGAAGAAATAAAGGAAACCATAGAAGCACTGTATAAACACCAAAGTGAAAAAGAGAAACACGATGAATAAAGGATAATGAACTCAGGACAAAAATAGACAACATTAAAGAGGAAACACCCAGGATATGGAAAACCTCAGAAAAAAAGAATGAAACAGAACTGCAAAAACAAAACAGAAGGCCAATCCAGCAGAATAGAACAAACAGAAGACAGAATCTCAGAACTTGAAGATGAAATGGTAATTAAAGGAAAAACAAAGAACTATTAATTAAACAACTCAAGACCTGTGAAAAGAAAATGCAAGAACTCACAACTCCATCAAAAGACCAAACTTGAGAATCATGGGCGCATCGAAGAAGGAGAAGAGGTGCAAGCGAAGGGAATGCGTAATATATTCAACAAAATAATAATGGAAAATTTCCCAAAACTAGAGAAAGATATTCCCATACAGATGCAAGAGGCCTCCAGGACACCAAACAGACCAGATCAAAATAGAACTACCCATGACATATCATCATTAAAACAACAAGTTCAGAAAATAAGGAAAGAATATTGAAGGCTGTAAGAGAAGAAAAAACAAGTAACATACAAAGGTAAAACCCATCAAAATCACAGCAGACTTCTCAACAGAAACATTAAAAGCAAGAAGCATGGGGTGAGATCTTCCGGGCACTGAATGAAAATAACTTTCAACCCCAGGATACTCTACCAGCAAACTATCATTCAAAATAGATAGAGCAATAAAAGTCTTCCATGATAAGCAGAAAACTAAAACAATATGTGACCACAAAGCCACCACTACAAAGATTCTGCAAGGGATTCTGCACACAGAAAGTGAAACCCAACTTAACCATGAAAAGACAGGCAGCACCAAACCACAGGAAAAGAAAAAAGCAAGAGACAGTAGAGAGTAACTCAACTTAGGTACACACAATCAAACCTTCAAACAACTAAGACACTAAATGACAGGAATCACCACATACCTATCAGTACTAACACTTAATTTAACGGACTTAATTCACCCATCAAAAGGCACCGCTTTGAAATGGATTAAAAAAGGAAGATCCAACAATTTGTTGCTTACAGGAGACCCATCTCACTGACAGAAATAAGCATAGGCTTAGGATGAAAGGCTGGAAGAAGATTTACCAAGCCAATGGCCCCCGAAAACAGGCAGGAGAGCAATACTATCTCTGACAAGTAGACTTCAAACCTACATTGATCAAACGAGATAAAGAAGGACATTCCATACTAAAAAGGGGAAATAGACCAAAAGGAAATAATAATCATCAACCTGTATGCACCCAATGTCAACGCACCCAATTTCATCAAACATACCCTGAAAGACCTAAAAGCATATATAAATGCCAACACAGTGGTTGTGGGAGACTTTAACACACCATTATCATCAATAGATAGGTCATCCAAACAAAAAAATCAATAAAGAAATCCAAGATCTAAAATATGCAATAGATCAAATGGACCTAGTTGATGTCTACAGAACATTTCATCCAACCTCTACACAATATACATTCTTCTCAGCAGCCCATGGAACCTTCTCCAAAATAGATCATATCCTAGGGCACAAAGCAAGTCTCAGCAAATATAAGAAAATAGAAATTATACCGTGCATACTATCTGATCACAATGCAGTAAAAGTAGAACTCAACAACAAAAGTAAAGACAAAAAACATGCAAACAGCTGGAAACTAAAAACTC